TCCCAAGTGCTGGGATTACAGGTGTGAGCCACCACGCCCAGCTCCTTCAACTCTTCTTCTCCTCCTTATTTACAAAGTTTTGTTTCCATTTTCCTTCTATTCTCTTTTATTTTCTTGTCCCTTTTTCCTTTCCCCCGGCTTCTTTGTTCACCTCCCCATTTGAACATTTTCTTCCCATTTCTCAATATCTATTATACAATTTGATCCTTATTTACACCTTTGGTTTCTCACACCGGACAAACAATGCAGTATTTATGCATGTGTGTCTGATTTATTTCACTTAAGAGTATGGTCTCAAAGTGCATCCCTTTAGCTAGAAATGTCTCAAGCTTATCCTTCTTTATTACATAGTAGTACTCCACTGTATCAAAGAAAAAAAAACACATCTTTATCCATGCATCAATTGATGGGCATTTGGGCTGTTTCAAGATTTATCAATTATAAACTATGCCGCTATAAACATGGATATGCATATATTGCAGTGGTGTGATGTTTTAAATTCCTTCAGGAAGATGCCAAGAATGGGAATAGCTGGGTCAAATGGAACCTCTAGTTTTAGTTCTTTGAGGACTCTCCACACTGCTTTCCACAGTGGTTGCACCAGTCTACACTCCCACCAGCAGTGGAGAAGGGTTCCTTTTTCCCCACAGCCCCGCCAGGATTTGTTATTGGTTGATTTCTTGATGACAGCCTTTCTTTCTGGAGTGAAATGAAATCTCAGTGTTGTTTTAATTTGTATCTCTCGAATGACCAGTGATGTTGAACATTGTTTCCATGAATTTATTTGCCACTTCTGCTACTCCATCTGAGAAGTGTCTGTTCATTTCAGATGCCATTTTTGGATTGGGTCTTTAAATTTGGCTTAGGAAACCGCCCCCCAAAAAAAAATTAAAAAAAAAAAAAAGCCTAGCAAGCACAAGGTTGTGAGTTCGATTCCCAGTACTGGAAACCCTCCGCCCCCCAAAAAAAATAAATCAGGGGGGTGATTCTTTTAGCATTCTTTACATATTCTAGATAGTAGCCCAGTGTTCCTCAGACAAACCAGAAAATTATATGAAGTAAATATGCCCTCAGAATGGTGATTTTACCCTCAAGGGAAAGCATTTAAAACCAGTTGGGAGAAAAACAGAGAAATAGAAGAAGAGCAAGAGATTAGAAGCAAGGCTGGAGGACACAGGAAGATGACACAGACTTCGGAAAAATGATGAAGATAGGAGGCAAGGAGAGAAGGAAGACATAAAAACAAGAACAGGACAACAACAAAACTAGGAAGTGTTCACACTGATATAAAAATAAGAACAAAGAACAAGAAAAAAAAGAAGAAGAAAAAGGTCCATCTCAGGGTGTGTCTCTGCTGGCACTGGTAGACCGAGTGGGCAGACAGAGCCCAGATCCACGTTGATTAATCCCTGCCAGCCAGCCGTAGGTTTACAGTGGGGCAGTGCATGATCCCAGCAAGCCTGCACCTTTAGTTCCACTGAAGTTCAGGTTGGTTTCTGGTCCTGAGGCTGGAGCCTGATTTGTTCAGCCTTCGGCACTCTCTGAGCCTCCTACTGGCTTGAACTCGGCTCCTTGACCTCCTACCGAGTGGAACTGGGCTCTGCCTCATCCTGACACAGGGAGCCAATAGATGGAACCAGCCCAAAACCACTCTGAGTTCTGAGCTCGCTTGGCCCCTCTCCAAGCTGGTGACCGGCCAGTCACCCTCTCCTGCAGGGCAGCTGAACCCGAATAACTCACCAGCTTCTGCAGCCTGCTGCATCCACTGCTCCACTCACTGGCACATTTCACTGTGGAGGCCTCAGTGGTCGCCAGTGGTCACCATGCGTCTGTCTGCAAGTTTGAGCTGCCCCTCCCGTGGAGCAAGTCAGGGCTCAGGGAGAAGGTGATGCTTGCTACCTCCTTCTGCTATGTTTGGTCTCCCTTTGCTCTCCCTGGAGGCTTCAGTTCTCGCTTCAGATCCTTGCTGGGTCCCAGGGACCCACTGCCCTCCCTCTTCTCCTCCTCACACTGGTATACTCCAGCGTCTGGTGACCAAGTCTCAGGCTGTTTCTCTGCTGCTCACCACTCCGCCGTCTTCCCAGGAAGTGTAATGCAATTTTTAAAATTTAAGCATTCACTGCATTTCTGATCACCCCTTGTATGATGCTAAGAGACAAGGCCATCCATACACAGGTCCCACCATTTCTTTATCATTTTACTACATCCTACTATCGTCTGCGCTCTCGAGGTTATTTGCATCCATTGCTCTCCTCTGCTGCATAAGCGCTGGTACCTCAGACTGTCCACGGGAGGACTTACACAGAGGACAAAAACACTACACTTACCCTCGCTCGGTGAGTCTGGAGCTTCCTCCTGGCAAAACGACCCTCCTCCTTCATCTTCGGAAGTGAGGCAGGAGCCAGGTGGGGTGGCGTATGCCTATAATCCCAGCTCTCTGGGAGGCTGAGGCAGAAGGATTGCAAGTTCAAGTGCAGCCTGGGCAATTTAGTGATTTAGTGAGATCCCGTCTCAAAATAAAAAAAGGCTGTTGGTGTAGTTTAACGCAAAGGCCTGGGTTAAATCCCCAGTGCCACAAATAGGAAAGAAAGTAAAGGAAAAGAAAGAAGAAAGGAGGGAGGGAAAGGGAAGGAAGGGGGAGGGAGGGCAGGAGGGAGAGAGAGAGAGAGGAAATAGAAAGGAGAGAGAGAGAGGCTCAGGGCTCCTCAGTGGCTCTAGAAGCTGGTGACGGGCGCCCCACGGTGGTTATTCTGAGCACCAGTCATCAGCTGTGTCCGTGGTCGGGAGTTGGTGCACATTTCACATCCTAATCCTGTAGACATCCCCTCTGCCTCCCTTCTTGTCTCTATCCCTCCATCTCTAAATCCCCATTCACATCTCCAAAATATCTACCCATCTCCCTGTTTCCTATTACTCTCTTATTTTGCTCTTTAAATTATTTCGACTTTGGGTTTCTCATATTACAGAAACCATGTGCCATTTAACCTTCTGTGTCTGATTTATGCTAAGGGACCTAGCGCTATGGTCTAAGGTGCATCCACTGCATTTTCCATGACTCAAATTTATCCTTCTATTTATGGCTGAGTAACGCTCCCTTGCACACTTATCCCTGAATTAAATCTTGCACCTTGCAAGAAAAACAGAGGCAGAGAATCAGAGGGCTGGAAGGGCCAGGCCTTTTCCAGCAGAGATGGGGAACCAAGCCATGCAATCACACACGCCAAGTACTCAGGGAAAGGAGCCAGGTGACCGGACCCGTGGAACCATCCCGATGCCCAAGCCCTTCGGCCCCTGGGTCTGCAGGCTTTGAGGGGGACCCTCGTCTCCCCTTCTCTGCTTCTGATCCACAGGGGAACTGAGCTCTTGATCCGCAAAACCCATCAGCTCTCACCTGGGTTACTGCCCCTGCCCGCAGGGGAGACTCCCCACTTCCCCAGCCCCCAAAGCATGAGAACGAGGCTTCCTCGTGTGCACAGCCCCATCCCAGACATTTAGAGGGAGGCTCAGACACAGCCATGGCCAGACATGGGGGAGCCGGCTCTGTCCCTGCGGCCCGGCCACCTGCCCTGCCGCTCCGTCTTCCCCGTGACGGCTTCCTTCCCCAGTCCTCCCACAAGCTGCAGCCACCACCTTCTCCCTGACCTCCCAGGGGTGGTGGCAGAGAGAGGCCCTTCGCCCCCAAAGATGCAGGCCCCTGTGCTTCCTAGGCGAGATAAAACCCCCCTCGGGAGATGACCCCGCTGCTCCCCCGTAAGACAGGACAGTGTGTGCTTTGCGCCTTCCACTCTGTTGGGCTTAAGGGACTCTGGACTAGGAGCTTTCAGTCCTCATATCAGAAAGCCCCAGGTAGGGGCTGGGGATTTAGCTCAGCAGCACAGCACCTGTCTCACAAGTACAAGGTCGTGAGTTCGATTCCAGGTTCCAGAAAAAAAAAAACCAAAAAAAAAAAAAAAGAAAGCCCCAGTAAACTGAGGCTGGTCCCCTGCTCTGAAATCAGGCTTGGTGCAAGTACAGAACCCGGCCCAGCCTACCACCTAGTTTTCTAAGGACACGGCCACCCTTGTTTATGCCACGTGGTCTGGGGCTCTGAGACAAAAGGGAGAAGTTGTCACAGAGCCTGAAGTATTTACTGTCCAGCCCTTTAAGGAAAAATTGGTCAGCCCCAAACTTGCTTCTCAAGAAAAGCTTTTTAAAATGTTTCTTTCTTATTTTTTATTCTCTTTAAAATAAAACAAAGTATTAGTGCATATTAGTTATACAAAGAAATGGGTTTCATCGTGGCCTACTGGTGCATGCATACAACATACTTTATTTTCAAACAACCCCATTATCCTCCCTCCTTTTCCCTTCCAAACTTTATCTTATTTATTTTTGTATATTATTTCTCTGTTGTTGGTACTGGGGATTGAACCCAGGGCCTTCACACTTAGCTATGTTGCCCGTGCTTTATTAATTTGTAAAACTTTGGGACAGTATCTTGCTATGTCACTAAATTGCCCAAGTCAGGCTTGAACTTGAGCTTCTCCTGCCTCAGCCTCCCAGAGTGCTGGGATTATCAGCTTGAGTCACCATGCCCTTCCACACATTGGATGCCATCCCACCATGATTCCTCTGAGTTGTAGGGAAGGTTTGCTGTGGCCGCTGTGCCCCGGGAGGAGCTGTTCCTGGCGCTAGTGGGCACGGGAGGACGTGGGGTGGGCACGTGGAGGTGTGCTAGAGATCTGGGGACACTCACTTCCAAGGCCAGCACCGAGTCCTGAATTAAGCCTCCATCTTCCCCTCACAGCATGAAACCTCCCCCACATCCCAAGCAGGATCGAGATGCCCCATTGCCCCCAGGGCAATGCCAGCTGAACAGCCCATCAAGCGGGCTCCCCAGAGCTTGGGGCTGAGCCCCTGCCCCTGGGAAGCACCCGCCACGCCTGGCTGCAGGATGGAGAAAGCAGGGAGGGCTTCCTGGAGGGGGCAGCCTGGCGCCTGCAAAGGATTCAGCCACCGCGTATCCTTCATCACACATTTATTGAGGCTGTGCTGGAGGCCTGGGGGACACTGCTGAGAACAGGACAGAGCCCATCCTGAAACGTCGCCACAGGGAAAAGCAAGCGAGGGCAGAGTGGGGTCGCTCTGGCCCCAGACGGAATCTGGTGGCCCAAAGCGGGTCCACTTTCCCGAGCCCCCACAGGCTGAGGGCTTCCTCGGGTTCCCAGAGCAGTGCCCAAGAACCCCCCGGCTGCTCCTCCTGGGGCGGCCTGGGGAATCAGGCTCGCTCAGCGCCCCTCCCCCCAGCGGGCCGTCCTAGCTGGCCGCCATGGCAACCAGAAGGAAGTGGCGGGGGCTGTGGGAGTCGGATAGGGGAACTCAGTCTTCCTTGGTACCTGGGGATGAGCCCCTGTGGCCCGGAGGGAGGAGGGCAGCAGACAGCAACGGGGCACGGAGAGGACCCCGAACTGCCACGGGACAAGGAAGGGGCGAGGGTCTCTCAGGCAGGGTGGCCGCCTGCCTTGGTGCTGGCCGGGGGCAGCCAGCTGCGGCACAGCAGGAGGGAGGAGGAGGTGCTCTCCGGCTGGGCCCGCCTGGCTGCGGGAGCCTGGCTGCTGTGGCCACAGTCCTGTCCGCAGACCCCGCTCCTGGGGTCTCCTGCGGGTCTGTGCAGGGGCGGGGGCTGGGGCCTCCCGGGCGGCTAAGGGAGGAAGCTGTGCAGGGTCAGATCGTCCCCCTCGCGGTCCTCCCTGCGCTCTGCCTTGAGGTCCCGGCCCCTGCTCACACCCCCGTTGGCCGTGGCAGTGGCTCCCTCTCCCCCATCAGGCAGCAGGGACGAGATGCAGACCATCTCGGTGGGCGAGTAGCTGCGCACTGGGTACGTGTGGCCCATGCGGGAGAGGCGGACCGCCAGCACCACCGTGCACACGAGGAAGATGGTGGCCACCAGCGCCAGGATGAGGATGGCCAGCAGGCACTGCTTCACGGGGATCCGCCCCAAGGCCTCGGTGGGGGTGGGGGCCACGGAGCTCCCAGTGGGCACAGCCAGCTCTTTTTTCAGGCCCGAGCTGGACAAGTTGCTGGCTGCCACTGTGGTGTCATTTCGAATGACAGAGTGCCCAAGAAAGGTGATGGTGGGGCTGGCTTCCGTGGTCTCTGCCTCCGTGGGTGCAGGCTGCGTGGTCTCTGCCTCCGTGGGTGCAGGCTGCGTGGTCTCTGCCTCCGTGGGTGCAGGCTGTGTGGTCTCTGCCTCCGTGGGTGTAGGCTGTGTGGTCTCTGCCTCTGTGGGTGCAGGCTGTGTGGTCTCTGCCTCCGTGGGTGCAGGCTGCGTGGTCTCTGCCTCCGTGGGTGCAGGCTGTGTGGTCTCTGCCTCCATGGGTGTAGGTTGTGTGGTCTCTGCCTCCGTGGGTATAGGCTGCGTGGTCTCTGCCTCCGTAGGTGCAGACTGCGTGGTCTCTGCCTCCGTGGGTATAGGCTGTGTGGTCTCTGCCTCCGTGGGTGCAGGCTGCGTGGTCTCTGCCTCCATGGGTGCAGGCTGCATGGTCTCTGCCTCCGTGGGTATAGGCTGTGTGGTCTCTGCCTCTGTGGCTGCTGGTTGCGTGGTCTCTGCCTCTGTGGCTGCTGGTTGCATAGACAAGGCCCCTTCTTTGAATGGTGTCTCTGTGGTAGAGACAGTCACAGAGCTCAGTTCTGTGACCATATCCACTGTGACTGGACTCGGCCGTGTGACCAGCTCTTTGCTGGCCTCCACAGTGGGTGGTTCAGGGCTTCCAGGCCCTTCAGAACCTGCCCGCAGACGGCCCAGTGTTGGGAGCGTTTCTGGAGGGTCTGTGTAGTAGTAATAGTCTTCAGACTCATAGTGGGAGTCATCTTCCAGGGTCACCTGTCTCCGTCTCCGGCTGAGTGCAGGGGCTGCGGCGCCCTTAGCGGCACCGTCCTGAGCGGAGGCTGCGCCCAATGGCGCCAACAGCAGCGGCAGCAGGAGGAGGAGTGGAGGCATGGTACCTGGGGGGACACAGACAGAGGGACATCAGGACCCACCGAGCTCCGAGCCTGTGACCCCGGTCTGTTCTGGGGCAGCGCTGTGGCTTCAGGGACCCCAGAACCCAGCACACGCGTGGGATGGAGTAGAGCCGGCTACTGCAGCAGCTGGTACCACCGCCAATCCACACGAAGACAGCCTCAGGCGGCGTCAGCTTCCTCCAGAGGGTTCGCAGAAACTTCATGCCTCGGTCGCATTTTTGGCTAAAACCTTTTATTTGTGGACAAACAGCCGCGGGGGCTTAGGAACCAAGCCGAAAGCCGGGCTTCTTGGAAGAGGGTATTTATTAGCCCCGTGCTTTGTGGCTGGGGTCAGAGGGCACAATTAAGAAAAACAAGGAGAGGGCTGGGGATTTAGCTGAGCAGCACAGCGCCTGCCTGGCAAGCGC